AGGTCAAGTACCCTGCTCCCAGGTGGTCCTCATTCCCTTACCGAACGAGCCCACTACCAGCCAGACAGCGGGACTTCGCATGAACTGATACCGAGTTTAGTTCCACGAGTTAGACACGAAGTCCCGCTGCTCGCTAAAACAGCAGAAAACATGGCCGCCAACAAAGACTAATAATCCCAAAATGCCGAACGGACTTCATACGGCAGAAACAGTACATTCTGTTCGTGGGATTAGAGCGCCATTCGCATGTTTTATTTACACGAACGTGAGCCTTCAGATGAATGGTAGAATGCGGGGTTTGTCTTTATTAATGTAAAAGTTATGGATTTTTATGCAATTTTCTGGGACATAATAAAACGTGGTCTTTGGTGCGCTTGGAGATAATTAGATTGTATAACCATTGGCCTCATTATCTCCAAGCTTGGCGGGTACTAATTCAAAGGATACACTGTATTGTGATTGGATATGTGTCTGTACTGTACCTGTATTCCATCAGGTCCACAGGGGGCTGTCCTTGGACCTGAGGAATCACATAAATTGCCATGCTATGTGCCAGTAAAGCCAGTTCGTTTTGACCCTCAACTTGCAGCCTCGACTCATGTTGTAGGGATCCGGGATATTGATGCTTATATCGTGCTTGGGGATATTCTACACTTACAGCTTACTACCGAAAGACCTCCGTTCGACTCTCTGCAGCGGGAACCAGGACATCCAAGCGATCAACTGTAGCGTTACTTACCTTAACCGGGGGCCGGTCGCGGTCCTCTCTTCAAGCCGCGCGCGGTCCTGCGGCTGCACGAGCCACGCGCGGCTCATCCAACTACTTCGGATGGAGGGCGGGCAGTGACCGCGTGAGGCGGTCACGTGTCCCGCCTGAAACTAAGAGCGCGCCGCGAGTCTCGGGCGCGCTCTTAAAGGGACAGTGGGTGCCTAAATTGGAAAAGGCATCCCATTGGTCCCTGTCATGCCACACTCCCCATACACTTACCTTTTGGGGGCGTGGATGTGACAGGGACCAATCAAATTAGATGTTTAGGTATTTATACTCACCTTCTTCCCTTTGTTCCTTGCCCTATCGTGGTTTCTGTTTCAGTTCCCTTTAGCGCTTGTGGTGTTCAGTTGTGTTTTCTCGTATTGACTTTGGCTTCGTATTCTGACTTCGTTTTCGCTTTATCCTTATCTGTACTGTTTGCCGGCTTGCTGTTTTCCGTGTACCAGACCCCGGCTTGTCCTAGTTTACGCTGTCTCTCTGTGCCCTTGACCTCGGTTTGTTCCTGGCTCTGTCTTCTCTCATATACGTCAAGTCCGGCCATTCTAAGGTCCGGTAGACGTATCTCTCCTCTGTATTTGCCTCTGTTTAGCTGGATCCTGCGTGTAGGGGTATATTCTCGTTACATCAACCCTCCTGCTAGACCGGGGGCAATCGTAACATGCTCCTATTGGCCCCTGTCATCCCACATTCCCCAGACACTCACATTTTGGGGGCGTGGATATGACCGGGGCCAATCAAAGTAAAGTTTAGGGTATTTATACTTACCTCTCCCTTAACTCCCTGCCCTATCGTGGTTTCTGTTTCAGTTCTCTTTAGCCCTTGTTGTGTTTAGTTGTGATTTTTGTGCTTGACCTTGGCTTTGTATCTGACTCCGTTTATCTCTCTATCCCTGTTTTGTCTTGTTTGCCGGCTTACTGACTACTGTGTACCAGACCTTGGCTAGTTTTTGTTCTAGCTGTCTCTTTGTTCCCTTGACCTCGGCTTGTTCTTGACTCTGTCTATTCTCTGCTATACGGTAAATCCGGCCATTCTAAGGTCCGGTAAGTCGTATCTGCTCTATCTGTCGATTGTTGAACTAAATCTTGCGTGTAGGGGTAAACTACCGTGACAAGTATCCTATATAAGTCATATATAAAAGAGCCACAGCTTGATGAAAATTCTAGAGCCTATGATGTCTTGGGTTCAAAATAATCTCCAAGGATTAGTAGTTGTTTATCTCCCAGGTCAAGACAACACTGTAGCAGATTACCTGAGCAGTGAAATGGTCTTTATCAAGCAAGGTCGTCCAAGACCTCATGAACAAATGGTGCAAATCTAAAATACATCTAATGGCTAACCCAGTGGTTCTCAAACTTTTTAGGTTCAAGACACCCTTTATTTTTTAGTATTTTTCCAAAGCACCACAAGTCAAAATTTCTAGGCTGTATACCTGTACAGCGCTGCCACATCTACTGGCACTATAGTGTAATAAACAGTGTTGGTGTTAGAAGGGGTACTTGTATACATTTATTGTGTTTTAATACAGGGGTGTGTTTGTATGTGATGTTTGCGTTTGATTGCAGGGTTGTGTCTGAATGTAATGTTCACTTTTAAATGTGGATGTACATTTGTGTGAAGTATTTGTGTTTGAGTGAAGAGGTGTGTTTGTATATTTTTTTTGTTTGAATACAAGGGTGTGTTTGTATGTAATATTTGTGTTAGATTACAGGAGTGTGCTTGTATGTTGTGCTGGTGTTTGACTGCTTGGGTGTTGTGGACAAAAATATTAACTCAATTTATGTTGGTAAAATGCCTATTTACTCAGCATACCTACAATCAGCATTATTCAACTTTATATGTGATTTACCTAAAATGGCCACTAGGGAGTCTCCCTTTGACATCGACTAACACCCTCACTAACAAGATGATGCTGGAATCTGGGGGAGACCTCCAAGATACCAGTGACATCACACCCGGTAGGAAGAGCAATAAATAAACCACTTAACACCTAACCAATTATTGATGTATTATTTCATGTTATCTCTGACAAAGCATATGATGTAATTTTGCTCTATAAGGGGCATGCCGTGCCCTTAGAATAAGCATTCCTCAAGTTTTTCATTAACCCGAAACCTGTGTCTTGTGTGAATTACTTTAGGAGCGTGCATGCACTACTGCTTTAATTTGGCCGGGGGCAGATACACAAGATAATCAATTAATTGATTGATTCCACATCATTGCACATACATACATACATACATACTTACACAGATATTCATGCACATTAACACACAGATGCGTATAAACACACCGACACATACACACAAATTCATATAGACACCGACACACACACACACACACACACACAAACATTGATACATGCCCACACCATGACACAGATACACACTGACATAAAAAACACACACCCTTACACACAGATGCACATACACAGATGTGCACGCACACAGACACAGAAACACACTGACATATATATATATATATATATACACACACACACCATACTCATACTCACACACATACACTCATACACATATACTTACACTCATACACACACTCATAATCATCGAGGATACAGTGAAACCTTCTTCTAACACTTTTTGTCATTCTAAATTAGGGATCGACCGATTATCGGTTTTACCGATATAATCGGCCGATATTCAGTATTTTCGGCAATATCGTTATCGGCCAATTCAGATACCGATATTGCCGATAATACCTCCTAGGACTGCCAGGCTCATTACAAGCCCGGCGGTCCTGGGGGGTGCGGAGAGCAAGCGCTTACTCACCTCCCAGCAGCTCCTCCAGCTCCCCAGTGTAACTCTCCCGAGACCCGCGGCCATCAGAGCGTTGCCACGGGTTACCATGGCAACACTTCGCGCGGCACGCTGGCTCCGAGAGTTACACTGGGGAGCTGGAGGAGCTGCTGGGAGGTGAGTAAGCGCTTGCTCTCCGCACCCCCCAAAGCTCAGCCAATACCACTGGACCACCAGGGACTGCTATATCCCCCCCTTCCTGGCCAGGAAACAAGCAGGGAGGGGAGACAACAAAAATAATAATTAAATATAAAAAAAAATTAATAAAAAATGCCCCCTCACACACACACTCCATTATATACACATACACTACACAAACACACTGTGTATATAATGCAGTGTGTGTGTTTGTATAGTGTATGTATATAATGCAGTGTGTGTGTGTATATAATGCAGTGTGTGTGTAGTGTGTGTATATAATGTAGTGTGTGTATATAATGCAGTGTGTGCGTGTATAATGCAGTGTGTGTGTAGTGTGTGTATATAATGCAGTGTGTGTGTATATAATGCAGTGTGTGTGTGTAGTGTGTGTGTGTATATAATGCAGTGTATGTGTGTAGTGTGTTTATATAATGCACACTACACAAACACATTGCATTATATACATACACTATACAAACACACAAACTCTGCATTATATACACACATACTACACACACACACTGCATTATATACACACACACTACACACACACACACTGCATTATATACACACACTACACACACACTGCATTATATACACACTACACACACACTACACAAACACACTGTGTATATAATGCAGTGTGTTTGTGCAGTGTGTGTATATAATGCAGTGTGTGTAGTGTGTGTATAATGCAGTGTGTGTAGTGTGTGTATATAATGCAGTGTGTATAGTGTGTTTATATAATGCACACTACACAAACACACTGCATTATATACATACACTATACAAACACACACACTGCATTATATACAAACACACTACACACACACACTGCATTATTTACACACACTACACACACACTGCATTATATACACACACTATACAAACACACACACTACACAAACACACTGTGTATATAATGCAGTGTGTTTGTGCAGTGTGTGTATATAATGCAGTGTGTGTTTATGTAATGCAGTGTGTGTGTAGTGTGTGTGTGTGTGTGTGTGTATATAATGCAGTGTGTGTGTAGTGTGTGTGTATATAATGCAGTGTGTTTGCATAGTGTGTTTATATAATGCACACTACACAAACACACTGCATTATATACACACTATACAAACACACACACTCTGCATTATATAAACACACTACATTCATTATATACACACACACTACACAAACACACTTTGAATTTAGTATATACTGCATTCACTTTACGCACACTACCCACACACTACCCAAACACTCTGCTTTCATTATATACACACTACACTAATACACACTACATCCACTACACACTACACAAACACACACTGCATCCACACACACTACACAAACACACACTGCATCCACAACATACACTACACAAACACACACTGCATCCACAACACACACTACACAAACACACTGCATCCACTACACACACTACACAAACACACACTGCATCCACTACACAAACACACACTGCATCCACTACACACACTACACACTGCATCCACTACACACACTACACAAACACACACTGCATCCACTACACACACTACACAAACACATACAGCTCCCCTGTCTAAACACACTGCACCCACTACACGTGGCATGTATATTTTGTGCATTTACCTTTAGAAATAGTTTTTATTTTCCAAAATGGTAAATGTACAGAATATCGGCAAATTATATCGGCTATCAGCCTGAAAGTTCACAGAATATCGGTATCGGTATCGGCTCTAAAAAATCAATATCGGTCGATCCCTATTCTAAATGGAGCCAGGAGGTGACTGCAAGCATCCAAAGCTCATGGATTATTTCAGCTATTATACAAGTTTACCAAGATGCACAGATTCCTGCTCCTAAAGCACTTTAATCCCACTTGACCAGATCCTCTTTCCTTCTCCTGGGCAATTTCCCGGTGGGCCGTCGGCACCTGGGGCCGGGCAGACACCTGGGTCTGCTGTCGGCCGCTGGGGAGGTCTTCTGGCGGCCGCTGGGGGACTTGTCCTGGTGGCCGCTGGGGGAGCTGTGCTGGCTCTGCTCCCCAGCGCGCAGCTGAATGAGATCGGCGCCGGAATATGACGTCATATTCCGGCGCTGGTCTCATTCAGCAGCGCGTGAGGGCGGGAGAGCAGAGCCAGCGCAGCTCCCACAGCGGCCGCCAGGACAAGTCCCCCAGCGGCCGCCAGAAGACCTCCCCAGCGGTAAAAGTCCCCCAGCGGCCCCAGAAGACCTCCCCAGCGGCCCCCTGGCAGGTATTAGTAATGTGTCTGTCTGTGTTATCATGTTTGTCTGTATGGTGTGTGTCTGTCTGTGTCATGGTGTCTGTCTGTCTGTATGGTGTGTGTGTGTGTCTGTCTGTGTCATGGTGTCTGTCTGTATGGGGTGTGTGTGTCTGCCTGTCTGTGTCATGGTGTCTGTCTGTATGTATGGTGTGTGTGTGTGTGTGTCTGTCTGTGTCATGGTGTCTCTCTGTATGGCGTGTGTGTGTCTGTGTCATGGTGTCTGTCTGTCTGTATGGTGTGTGTGTGTCTGTCTGTGTCATGGTGTCTGTCTGTATGGTGTGTGTGTCTGTCTGTGTCATGGTGTCTGTCTGTATGGTGTGTGTGTGTGTCTGTCTGTCCGTCATGGGGTGTGTGTGTGTCTGTCCGTCATGGGGTGTGTGTCTGTCTGTCATGGGGTGTGTGTCTGTCCATCATGGGGTGTGTGTCTGTCTGTGTCATGGTGTGTATGTGTGGGTCTGTCTGTGTCATGGTCTGTCATGGTGTGTGTGTCTGTCATGGGGTGTGTATCTGTCATGGTATATGTGTGTTTCTGTGTCTGTCATGGTGTATATGTCTGTTTAAAAATTGTGTTTTTGCTCACCTTTTTTTTTCCCACGCAGGTCTCCCCTCGACTGGCCCTGCCTCTATAGCTGAGATCATCAAGCTTGATGATCTCAGCCAATCCAATGCTTTGCCATAGGATTGGCTGCAAAACACCACTCCAATTAGCATCTCCTCATAGAGATGCATTGAATCAATGTATCTCTATGGGGAACGTTCAGCACCTACAGAGTGTGGAGGTCCTGAATGTAGGTGCACTAACACAGGAAGCACCTCTAGTGACCGTCTGAGTGACTGTCACTAGCAGTGTCACTTTGAAGCAATGTAAACACTGCCTTTTGTCTGAAAAGTCAGTGTTTACGTTGAAAAGCCTGTAGGGACATGCTATAGATACCAGTACCACCACATTAAGCTGTGTGTGTGCGTCTGCTAGTGAGTGAGCTTGCTTGCATGCGTGTGCCTGCTAGTGAGTGAGCTTGTGTTTTTATGTCAATGAGCTGATGTATATCAGTAAGATTGTTTGTCTATGAGGCTGTGTATCAATGAGCCTGTGTGTGTCATTGACATGTCAGTGAAATTGCCTGTGTCTGCATGTGAGTATGCTTACTGTTTAATTAAACGTTTTACCCTGAAAGGACCAATATTTTATATTAGAAAAAGCAATATATATATATATATATATATATATATATATATATTACTCAATCATCTGTCCTGGCAAGACATAGCCTTACATATTACACGTGACAATATATGGCGCAGTGACTTATGGGGCTGGCACAAATTTGTTTTCCAGGGCTGCTTTGTATCCCCAGTCCGGCCCTGGCTACATGGTCCTCTAGAACTGTCCAGTTTGCATTATTTATGGCGTTTGTGTTTCCTATCCCTGGTGAGGTGTGTGGAATGAACTGCAAAGGTAAGCAGGGGGTGTGGGTTTTTATAGAAATGCTATCTCCACAAATACAAGCCTTTGGCCTTTAAATAAATAAATAAATATATATCCTGATGAAAGTTGGTTTGCGAACTGAAAAGTCGATTTTACTGGCAACCACTGAATAAAAGCTAAGTTTTATTTTTATACTGTACTAAGTCCCTTGAGTGCTGTTTTTTTTAAATTGGGTTGTGTATATATGCATATATACAGTGGGACCTCTGTTTACAAACGACTCGGTTAACATAATTTTCGGTTTACAAATGAAAATCCATTGAAAATAATGCCTCGGTTTACAAAAAATGTTTGCAATACAAAGCAAGTTTCCCCAGGATGCATTGCACCTGGGAGGTTTATAGCACCGCCCCCAGCATGCTGGAGCCTGTGGGTAGTACGTGGCGTAGAGTGCGGAGGTGTTGGAGCGGCTTTTGCATTGAGTTTTGGAGCAATTTTGGAAATTGTTTGCAGTTATTTTGGAAATTTTTGGTGCTGTGGAAAGGTAGGGAGTCGAGCTTTGTCGTTTGCATGACTTTTATTGTGTGTTCTGCATTCTAGGTTGGTTTCCATGCCAGCTCATTTTGTCTTTTTTCTGACCTCAAGAACGGATTAATTGGTTTTCAATGCATTCCTATGGGAAACCGCGTTTCAGTTTACAAATGTTTCGCAATAAGAAACGTCCCGGAGAACGCATTAAATTCGTAAACTGAGGTCCCACTGTATATGTGTATTATTAATGCTTAATTATGTGATTATATAAGTTATATATTGAGGGAAATGCCTGACAACCCAGGCAGAAACTCTTGAAAATTTAATTTGAAAGCCCTTTATTTGACATTGTGACCTTTCAAAACCACATAAAACCTGTACATGGGGAATACTGTTATACTTATGAGCGTTTTAGGACAGTAAAATGTATAATAGTGATAATATCAGTGAAAGTGTCATTTTTGTGTGAAAAATACAAATAACAAATATAAACACGAACTTTGGCCACAGTTTGTAACTAAGTGGCTACTAAAAAAGTCTGGACATACCTCATTGTGTACTTTTACAAATTGTATGCCAAGATGGGGGTCATTTTCATTTCTGGGCTGCCATACGGTCTCAAAGGAACATAGGCCCAGCAAACCAGTCTGGCAAATTTCAATGTGTCAAAATAAAACAGGCAAGCTTCTCATATGCTCCTGTAACTTTCCAAAACACCATGAGACCTACATATGGGGCATCTTTGTACTAGCGGAACATCACAGCATACATGAATATATATCAAGTGAAATGAAAGCCCTATTTCTGAGAAAATTATATATAATAAGCGTGTGTGGAAAGTGGTAAATTATGATTGAACAGACATACAGGTGATACTCGAAAATTAGAATATCGTGCAAAAGTTCATTTATTTCAGTAATGCAACGTAAAAGGGGAAACTAATATATGAGATAAATGCATTACATGCAAAGCAAGATAGTTCAAGCTGTGATTTGTCATAAATGCGATGATTATGGCTTACAGCTCATGAAAACCCCAAATCCACAATCTCAGTAAATTAGAATATTACATACAATCAATAAAACAATGAGTATTTGACCTCTGAAAAGTATAAGCATGCATATGGACTTAGTACTTGGTTTGGGCCCCTTTTGCAGAAATTACTGCCTCAATGCGGTGTGGCATGGAAGCTATCAGCCTGTGGAACTGCTGAGGTGTTATGGAAGACCAGGATGCTTCAATAGCGGCCTTCAGCTCTTCTGTATTGTTCGGTCTCATGTCTCTCATCTTTCTCTTGGCAATGCCCCATAGATTCTCTATGGGGTTCCGGTCAGGTGAGTTTGCTGGCCAATCAAGCACAGTAATCCCATGGTCATTGAACCAGGCTTTGGTGCTTTTGGCAGTGTGGGCAGGTGCCAAATCCTGCTGGAAAATAAAGTCAGCATCCCCATAAAGCTCGTCTGTGAAAGGAAGCATGAAGTGCTCCAAAATCTCCTGGTTTACGGCTGCGTTGATGAAGCATACACCAGCAACACCAGCAGATGACATGGCTCCCCAAATCATCACAGACTGTGGAAACTTCACACTGGACTTCAAGCATCTTGCAGTGTGTGCCTCTCCATTATTCCTCCAGACTCTGGGTCCTTGGTTTCCAAATGAGATGCAAAAGTTGCTCTCAGCAGAAAAGAGGACTTTGGACCACTGAGCAACAGACCTGGTCTGTTTTTCTTTAGCCCAGGTAAGATGCTTCTGACATTGTTTGTTGTTCAGGAGTGGCTTGACAAGAGGAATATGACACCTGAAGCCCATGTCCAGGATCTGTCTGTGTGGTGGCTCTTGATGCACTGACTCCAGCCTCAGTCTACTCCTTGTGAAAGTCCCCAACACTTTTGAATGGCCTTTTCCTAACAATCCTCTCCAGGCTGTGGTCATCCCTGCTGCTTGTGCAACTTTTTCTTCCACACTTTTCCCTTCCACATAATTAATGTGCTTTGATACAGCATTTTAGGAACATCCAACTTCCCTTGCAATTACCTTTTGAGGCTTTCCCTCTTTATGGAGGGTGTCAATGATGGTTTTCTGCACAACTGTCAGGTCAGCAGTCTTTCCCATGATTGTGATTCCTACTGAACCAGACTGAGAGACCATTTAAAGCAGGGGTCCTCAAACTCCAGCCCCCCAGATGTTGCTGAACTACAACTCCCATGAGTCTCTGGCTATCTATGTAATTCAAAGAATCATGGGAGTTGTAGTTCAGCAACATCTGGGGGGTCGGAGTTTGAGGACCCCTGATGTAAAGGCTCAGAAACCCTTTGCAGGTGTTATGGCTTACTCTTGCTTTGCATGTAATGCGTCTATCTCATATATTAGTTTCCCCTTTTACATTGTATTACTGAAATAAATTAACTTTTGCACGCTATTCTAATTTTTCGAGTATTACCTGTATAGCCTAAATTCTAGGTTTTGATCAGAACTTGCAGTACTGCATGGAGATGATGAACATTCCTCTGATTCAATGCATCTCTATGAGGAGATGCTGATTGGCACAGCGCTGTGTTTTCCAAAAGCATTGGATTGGCTGAGATTATCGAATTTGATGATCAAAGCTATGGAGGCAGAGTCTGGCAGAGCCAGCCGTGAAGAGACCTGTGCTGCTCTGGAAAAAAGGTAATTAAACTCCCCTTTTTAATAGAGGAAAGGGGGGGCTAGTGATCTAAACAGCGCATTTAGCACTTTAGCAATACATTCTCAACTATAGTGATCCTTTAACTCCTTTAACTCTTCTATATTTCATTCCTTATTTCACACCTGTGTCATAGAATAAAACATAAGTAAAAAATAATCTGTGCACATTCCTACTTATACATTTTGAAGGCAAACTGCTTAATGTTGAGAATCATTCTACTGATTTCCACAGTAATTGTTTCATTTGTTTTTTTTTGTTTTTTTTACTCTTTGCCACAGAATAGCACATGATGACTCGCCCCCTACAGTTCCAACTAGACTTGTGTTATGTAATGAAAATTCATCTTGGGCAAAACATTTTTTTTCGGAAAACAGAACATTTTTTGGAATACTCGGTTGGTTCAGCTCAGCAGAATTTTGGTAAAGAAAAACTGATTTAGGAACAAAATCAGATGACCCAAAAGGTTGTGAAAATCGGCTAATCAGTGTACTGCAGAACGTACACACAATATTATGTATATATTTTGCAGTACAATGATTTGGTCCCATTTGGTTCACAGATCAAGTGAGGAAAAGTAACCAATAGAGTGAAAAACAGGAAGAGCAGTATAAAACCAAAAAATATATATTTATATATTATATATGTTGTAAAATAAACAGTATATAAATGTAGATTTATTGCTGATTCTACTTTTTCCAGTTGTTGCTCATTTCTCACTTTTTCTATGAATTAAATCAATATATAGTAACTGTTCCCTAGCAATCCCCTTTTCAAAATCGTGAACCAAAATGAACATGCACATTATGGTTGGTTTGCAATTCGGGTACCATTTGGAAATTTGCCCAAATTTGGATGAATTGCAGTTCTGACCAAGATTAATCTCCAAGTCTACTTCCAACATGCATGCAATTTCTGTCCATTTGCTGAAATGACTTTACTTATTTTTTTCACACTCATTGTTTTCTTTCTAGCAGTATTAGCTTCAAATAATGGACTAATTCCTGTATATATTGTAAAATTATCTTATTCTTGATTTATTAGAGGTGAATGTTAATATTTTTAGCAGGGGTAAACATTTTGAAAAAATTATATTTACTAGTGTCTGTATCTAATTAGTTATCTGGCAGCTCTCAGAGAAAATTGATAAACTTGCTTAGAAAACTTACACCTTTATTAGCTAGAGTAAGCAACTTGTAATTGTGCGACTTGCACTAGGACAGTTTGATAGATTTACACCAAAATATACCCTTTGTATCTGTTATGACTTTCTACCTTCCATCAAGTAGTGACTGTTTAACATCTGCCAATGTCACAAGTAGCTGTTGGGATTTACTGACAGATGCTTCTAAAAAGCCAGTAGCTAACATCTTCTATTATTCTTTATGGGAAGAACTTGCTCCTACCCTATCCCTACTTTTAACAATTGCCTCTAAACGGACTTATTGATAATGCATAATCTTGCTGATGGTAAATAAGTATTTACGGATTGTTCGTTTTTCATTGATGAACGTATCTAATATTGGCGCCACTTTGAAGGCTTTACGCAAGGGAATTGATCACACTTAAACTGTACATTTACGCTACTTTCTAGTACAGCACGTCATACTAGAAAACCTTATACATTTTTAAAGAAATTCCAAACATAATTCTTATTCTTGCTTATGATGGACCATACATGCACTACAAAATCAAGACATATATCTGCATATTCTTGCAAAATAAGAGATATGAAAATCCTACTAACTTGTTTAGCCCAGAAAAAAATTACAACAATTCAGCCATAATTAGGTATAAAAAAATAACCAATGAAAACAATTATTATCCTTCATCTTCTAAGAATGTGGTGAACAGTGAAAAAAAAATATTATAAATTTTAAGTTGTTCTTGCACTCATCCATATCAAATTAAAATTCTTTTTCCTAAGCCTAAGGAATAAAAAAAAAATGTCATCTTCTTTTTGGCTTTTTGCTTTTTATAAATGTAGTTACATGAGATAACATTTGTATTGCGTAAATATGAGTGGCGACTATTTTTAAAATGGGATGCCAGACTCCACCCACATCATTTGACTCTACCCCCTCTTTCTGGAAACCCCACCTCTTGATATATTGGACTCATGAAATAGTAAAAGAAAAGAAAAAGAAAAAAGTTATTCGTTATTTCATTGGCTTCAACGCTTTCAACTTTTCAACCCTTGCTGGTAAAATGACCAATACGTAATTATGTATATATTATTATTATTATATATTTTTATGTATTTTTAGTGTGCATGAAATTGCTTAGGCTAATGAGTTATACTATAACTGCTCAGATACAATAAATAATGCTAAATTATGAAATAATTACATTTATAAAGGAAAACTTAAGCAAACATGTTAATACAATAATGGAACTGCCGCAGAAACTGGGAATATGAGAACTTGGAGAACTTAGAGAGCTTAGAAAAACTCATTAGCATTCCCTTTGGCTAAGCCCGCTCAGGTCTCAAAAGAGTTAGACACCAGGAACGCAATTGTGATATAGGAACTGCTACCCCAGGCCTGTATGTACTATAAAAGGTACATAACAAAGAACCATCGTTTTGGAGACATCGGTAAACTACGTGATCATTGGCCTACTTGATCTTTTGGTTTATCATGATGTTTCCAGAAACCTTAAATGGCATTATTTTCCTATAATAATAGGTTCATCATTATTTATTCCTATAAGGTATTTCCATCTGTAGCAAACTCCTAATTTAACGTTTAGAAAATTGGCGTTTCTCCTTCATCAAGGGGAATGTAGTATTATAATTTTTTTATTCTGTTGATTTATAGCTGTGACATGGTATGCTTTTACTATGCATTAATGTGCATAAATACATGGAACAGAATGTAATGCAAGTAATTTAATCATCAGAGAGTATTTAACCTAACATTTTAATTATCAGTATTGCATGGATCCTGCACTCAGGAATAAACATTTGCTTCAGGTGCAACTGTCTATAGTTCTTCACCTCGGCAATGCACTAAAGACATTTCTAATTGTTAGGGTGCCTGAATTAGCGGCCAGGCAGTGTAAAGACTTTGCTGCCAATGGGAATAAATTAATCACAGCATTTCCTATGAGATCCCTTCTATGATTAATTTATTTGCCCTAGCAGCATTTAAATTTTAAATAATGTCAGCACTATTCATGTACTTCTTGACAGCATGTGCCACAGCATTAGCATTGTTGTTTTTCCCCTTAATTTTTGCAAAATGTTTACTACAGCATTAATAGTGACTACAATATAATGTATTGACCAAAGCATGAGGTCACTGCTAATTTACTTCCCTCACTTTATATTAAAAATACCACGTTTTATAAGTTTTAAGTCACTGATTGTAATGTAGTTTCTAAAGAGGATAAGTGGTATAACTTTAAGTTGACACTTCAAAAATGTTGTTGGTTCAACATAAGTTAAGGAAACTGTGAAGGCCTTAAAACAGAAACTCTATGGTTAACAATGGTTCTAAAACTCCTAGCAGAATGTTTACTAGAACTATGTAAAGCCCTAACTAGTGTTGTACAAGCAGGTTCCAGCAATTTTCCTGAAAGAGAAAAGACAGAGAGAAAGACCAAGCCAATCACTCCTTCCAAGAAAAGCAGGAAAAGAGAACCACTAACTAAATTTGAAATGAAAAGAGATGACAGGATGACTTGTGTTAATTATTGTGGTGATACAGGTCACCAAATTACTAACTGTCCCAGAAGACCTCCTAAGCCTCCTGCAACCAATGATCCTAATATACAGAACACAAAAAAAATCATTCCTTTATGCAAGGACTATAACTACAACAATTCTGATTTACTGACATACTTACCTATCCTCCCTCAGTTAATTCCCTTACATTTCATGATTCAGATAGAGCTCTGTAGAGCTGGATTGTGACACTCCGCCTTCAGATGGCTTGGGTTCAGAGGATCAAGTCACGAACGACTGTCCTGAACAAATAGCCGTTGCAACGACTACCTCTCCTTTCATCCAGTCAAAAGAACAACAAAATGCTCCTAAGAAGAATACGGCAAAACCTCCATTTGGTGCCCCTGGTCTTGTAAAAGTCAGTGATGGTACTATACATCAAACTTATCAGTATTACTTGTTCCTATATATTGTTGCTTAGTCGTATATAATTGTCATGTAACCTGTAATTTCTATTATAGGTTTTTCTTCTCTTTATTTTCCTATAATATCTAAGCTATTGTTATCTTACGACCTGTTTGGGGCATATTAACCCCTTAAGGACTGAGCCAAATGTTGTGAACAAAACAAAATGTAAACAAAACCTGGCATTTGCGCTACATGTCTGTCCAACCGTAATTCACCTCTTTCATATTAAATGCACCCACCCTTATTATATATCATTTTATTCAGGGGAAACAGGGCTTTCATTTAATATCAAATATTTAGCTATGAAACATAATTTAATATGATAAAAATGGGAGAAAATACGATTTTTATTTATTTTTTTAGTTCTACATTTTAACTGTCAATGTCATAATACTGTTTGCTTTTACTGCAATAAAATACACATATTTGTATTCAGCAAAGTCTCACGTGTAAAACAGTACCCCCTATGTACAGGTTTTATGGCGTTTTGGGAAGTTACAGGGTCAAATATAGCACGTTACATTTGAAATTGAAATTCGCCAGATTGGTTACGTTGCCTTTGGGACTGTATAGTAGCCCAGGAATGAAATTTACACCCATAATGGCATACCATTTGCAATAGTAGACAACCCAAGGTATTGCAAATGGGGTATGTCCAGTCTTTTTTAGTAGCCATTTGGTCACAAACACTGGCCATCAGTGAAGCAACCTCGAACCAGTTGGCTAGGTGATGGTCAGACATAAATTGTTTGTACAAGTGAAAAGCTCTGTGATACGCGTGTTGGGTGCTGGTGGATAAGGCTAACTTGGTAAGAACGTGGCTGTGCTGAAGTAATTCGTCTAATCCACGACAAGTTCTTGGAAAGTTGGCGCTGGCACCCGGGGCGGACCCCGCCCCCCCCTTAGTACGCCACTGGCTGAAGTAATTCGTCTAATCCACGACAAGTTCTTGGAAAGTTGGCGCTGGGGTTGCTAGAGCTGCCGAGCGTAGGGACAGTTTGAAAGCCTGAAATTGAAAGCGAGAGAGTTGGTCAGCTGCCGTGTTGTATATGCCGGGAACGTGAGAGCATACAATTTGGAACTGATGGGTAGCTGCCAGCCATGTCAGTTTCCTAAGGAAACTAATAATCGCCAAGGAGGAAGAGCGACCTCTGTTGATAATGTGGCATATTGCCAGGTTGTCGGAAAAGCAGCGTACGGACTGACCTTTCCACAACCTACACCAAGTGACGGCTGCAGCAACTATTGGGTATACTTCAAATAGGGCTGAGTTAGTGTGAAAACCCTCAATGCCCTGTGTTTCTGTAGGCCAGGTCCCCCAGAGCCATTCTGTGCCGAAAATGGCCGCATATCCCGCTGATGACGCTGCGTCTGTCCAAATGACCGGTGACTGTGAAGCAATCTGCGGGAGGAACATGCTCCTCCCATTCCATTCCGAGAGGAATTTGTACCAAATCTGGAGGTCAGCGGTCGCAGGACAGTCTAAGGATATGCGGACATGGACGTTGGCGAAAGTGGGGAACAGGGCGAGGAGCCTAGCAATGAAAGCCCTGCCCTGGGGGATTATGCGCATGGCAAAATTTAGTGAACCCAGAAGTGATTGTAGTTCTTTACGATTGCAGGACCCCCTGTGCATGTAGTGGCTAATATTGTGTAGGATGTGAACTACCTTTTCTGGCCATCATAGTTGATGAATCCAGCAGAATACTCAGAAAGTTAATCAATGTATCTGGTCCTTCGGTTTTAGTGGGTGACACGGGAACACCAAGGGATGTGAATAGTTTGGTTGCTTTGTCTAGGCTACGTGGGGGGGTGGAATTGGTTTCGATGAAAAGAAAATCATCTAAGTAGTGTATCACATTTGGGCACCTGCAGGTATTGAGGAGGAGCCAACACAAAACTTCTGCAAACGTGTCAAAAATCCTGGGACTACTCTTGGCACCGAAAGTGAGCTTTGTAAAAAAGTAGTAGGAGTCTTGCCACTTAACGCCATGCAGGTGCCACAAAGAGGGGTGTATAGGTAATAATTTAAAAGCATTCACAATATCCGTCTTGCTGAGCCAAACCCCCAACCCTGCAGATCTGATAGCTGCAATAGCGTCGGCAATAGTGGAGTATTGTAGGGAAAATTCCTCAGATGGAATCAATGAGTTTAGGCTGGGGATGGCAGAGGAGTGGGGTGCGGATAAGTCTTAGTTTCTCAGAATTTTTGCTGGAAACCAGCCAGATAGGGTTAGTTCTCCAGCTGGAAAATGGGGGGTTAACAAAAGGCCCAATGACAAATCCCTGATCCACTTCCAGTTGTAACAGTGTGGTGACTGCCATAGGGTGGTTAGTGGCAGACTGTAAATTGTGACACTCTAATACCCCAGTTGGCATGTAAATGACCCCTGTGTGAAAACCCTGGATGAGACCCGTACATAAAAAATCAACGAGGTGTTTGGAGGGGTGAGTGGATAGCATACATGCAAGTAAAGGAACGTTTACCAGAGACAAATAAGGTTTCTGGTACATTTTATTAGGGCACATGGATTTCGCATGTGCCCTGAAACAATGTGAGCACACGTGCAATAAGCGGCAGGCGCTGTAGCCGCAGGAGCCCTCGTTGAAATTATTGCAAATCTGTGATTTGCCTAGATACACTACTGGATGACCCAGTTTGTCTCTGGTCTGTTTCTCAGCCTTAGTGGGATGATGCAAGGATGGGCCGGGAGCGCTGTCTGGACAGAGCGGGCAAAAATTTGCTGCGTGAGCAGGAGATGTACATATGGCACAAGCTGGTGTCCTAAGACCCGCAAATGTCTGAGGAATAGCTCATTGTCTAGTTGGCTCTAATCCATCTGGATGCCGTACTGAGACAATGTGGCAGACACTTTTGATGAAAAGGACTTGTGGTAATCGTAAAAAGTATAGCCACCATACTTATTACCGAGGTCCACCAGCTTATGCATATATAGATCGAGTTCCTCCCTCCTATGGGGATGAGCCGTGCATAGAATATCTCTAAAGATACTGAAAGCCAGCACGAAATCAGGAATGGCAAGTTTCTTACTGAGTCTTGGGTCTCTGGCTTTTAAAACCACCGAGATATCCCCGTAGTCGTAAGACCAGTTTTCCACGATATCCTGGGAGGCAATGAGCAGTGAGACTAAGTTAACGTCCTTGCCTTCCAGGATGTCCTTTTTTAGATTTGCCGGAACCATGTGGGCAGGATTAATAACGTGGGCGGCTGCTTTTGAGGCTATGGAATTACCCGTTATTGCTGTGGGTATGGCGGGGATTAATTTGGAGAGAGGGCCCGGAGGTTGTGCGGGGAAGCTACGGGCTTCCAGCCTCTCCAGCCTGTCGTTGACCTTCCCCATAAAAGAGGTTAGGGAGGCAACCATAGCATGGAGAGTCGGATCTTGAGAGCTGCTTGTGCCTTCCCCTGCATCTGTATTAACGGTATTGGTTCTTAGCAATTTGAACAGTTCTGCTTTCCTGGCAGTAGCTGGGAAAGGAAGACTGCGTTTACGTAATTCTGCAGTGATGCGGGGGATAGTCCATGATCTGATGGACGAGGGGCTTCCCGTGTCGCCCTTGCGGGTCGGAGTAATTGACCAAGCAGGGGTGCTAGGGATTGACATATCCTCACCATCATCTGGGAGTAGGGACATACTGAAAAATATAATAGACATGTATGGTAACCAGGGTTGGGAGTTGACGGGTGGCTAGCTAGTGCCAGATGGCGAAAGATTATTCTAGGTTTGTGACAGGTGAGGCCCTGATAGTGCAAAGTGGCTAGAGAGGCTCTATCTATGAGTTGGCGCGAGGGGTGTGGTAGCCTATCTAGGTGATGGGTCGTTGGCCTCTCCATGCGTGTGGGGGGGGGGCATTTGGTGGTGACTGGTGTCACCCTATCTATATAATTTGCGAGGTGGCTAACTATGATTTGGCCCGAGGGGCGTATAGTACCTCGAAGTGAAGGATGGGAGTTGTCCTCGCGGACCGCTAGGATTAAGGGGCAGGGAAATAACTAACATGGCCGTGTTGAAAAAAAAATGTGCAAATCAACATACCTGCAGAAAATTGAGCACTGGTTCTGTGTAAGAGAATTCAGATGTCTCTTGAGTAGGGGGGGGGTTAGCCTAGGTATTCGGGTTCCTGGGGGTATAAGAATTTTAGATAATGTACTCTAATGTGGAACATATACATAATATGAATAAATTGACGTAGTCAGAGTTCTGGGGTGAGTACTGTCCCCACAATGTACACAATGCCACCGGTAGGCCATGTACTTTAACCGTAACCGTGGTATAATTATCTTAAGACTTAACGTTGCTACTATACATGCAGATATCTCATAATATATCTAATCAGCCATAAGTAAACATATATCATATACTATCATGTTTATCAAGCATATCATACCATATATGTTTAACCAGCGTTTTACTAATTTAACCAGCGTCCTAATTAGCAGTATATGTATAAATAACAGCAAGGTATGTAACTGTAAAGTATTTGAAAGGAAAGTGTATGTTATAATCATGTAAGGTTGCAACTGGCTGAACTAAGGGTCAGCCAGCAACGGAACATACCATGGCCCCCCTTTTTAAAATTGTGCAAGATAGGTAGACCGGCACCCTACTATTATGCCCCCACTTGTGTGTTGCTGGTGGGAACAGGGACCCTTTACGATATAGGGGTCTGGTTGAGGCTTGTTCCCGTCCGGGCCGTATGTATTGTCTCCCCCCCCCCCTTTTTCCCATCATAACTTCCCCCTTAAGACTGGGTTTCACCGGCGGCCGGGAACAGGGACTCCTAACGGTAATGGAGTCTCTGTCCTGCACCCGGGCCAGCTGCTATATCCTCAGTAGGAGCCCTGCTTACTGCACCAAAAATGGTCTGGTGGGGGGAGAGGCCGGTCGGGTTGGTGGCCGGCGAGTATCCGGTTATGGGGCCGGTGATGCCGGGCTGAAAACCGCTGTTCAGGCCAGGTTCGGAGAGCCAGTGGGCTTTGGAGCCTGTGGAGCCGACGGAAGTCAGCGTGACGTCAGAGGAGTGTGCCGCGTCTCGCCGGAAGTGACGTCACGAACCAGGAAGCCGGCGAGTATCAGCCTGTTCGTCTAGACCAACGAAGGTAAGAAGGGAAGGGGGGAGTGCCTTAAGTAGGTCTATAGCCCCTCCCACAAATTCAGGCCATGCCTTCCAATATATATATACATATATATATATATATAGTGATATATACGTATATATTTATGTATATAGATATATATATTATTTCGTTCTATGTGTATTTTGATATAAATATATATATATTATCACAATACATTTAGAATGAAATAACACACATCTATATATTTTTTTAATTATTTATTTTTAATTATTTTTTTAATTTTATTTTTTAACTTATTTACATATTTGTTTTATATTATATATAAATATATATAACAATAATTATATATATATATTTAATCAGTATCAGTCTATGTGTAATTTGATATTAATATATATATATATATAATTATATATATATTAATAGTAAAATACACCTAGACAGTGATTTTTTACCCTGATTAACATTTATTTGATTTGAATTCAGCCCTGATTAACATTTATTTGATTTGAATTCAGTCAGCAGGGGGGCTAACTGTCATTACAGGCAGTCCCCCTGCTGGCAATGCAGCAGGCAGCTAACCCAGCCATGTGATTGTGAGGTCCTCGCAAGGACCTCACTCTCACATGGCTGGGGGGGGCCTGCAGGAGGTCGGATGTGCCACGGGTAAGTAAAAAAAAATGGAGGGCGTACTATTACGCCCGGCGGCGTTTAGAGCCGCCTAAAATAGTACGCCCTCCGGTCTGAAGGGGTGAAATAACTCATTCCTATAAGCTTTACTTTATACTTGCCTATAATTTTGTTTATAGGTTCTACTTGGTACTCACCTATAACTTTGTTTATAAGTTCTACTTCTCTCACAGCCTGTATCCTGGTAACCTGCTTAGGGCATATTGCCTAAACCTCTGTTTCTGTTGTCTTTCCTTATATTACCTATAATTTCGTTTATAGGTTCCACTTATAGTTATCTATTATTACCTGCTTAGGATATATTGCCTTATCCTAAATTTCTATTATCTCCTTTCGTCTGTATTGTTTCCCTTTACCTTAAGTTCTGCTATTCTTATTTTCTTGACAAATCCTGTCTAAAATTCAAAATAAATTTTAGACCTGATTCAAAACCTGACAGAAACAAACCTAAAACAAATTAAAACCAATTTGCCATATCAGAAGCACTAGTCTAAAAGTAAAAAAAATGGCCTTCATAATGTGTATATATCAGATTAGATTGCAGTATCATGAACAGAATACAAACATGGAAAGAGAGCTGTTAAAAGAGCCAGATAGCATTTTACCTGGGCAGCATTAAGATATAAAACTGATATTTAAAAATATGTGTAATTAAGTAGATGCATGGGGGGAGGGGGGGGGGAATGAATGAAAATGCAGATCCACTGAAATGAGTGTTAGAAATGTATGATAAATAAATAGCTACACAAAGTATAGGAATAATATATAGTAAGGTACAAACAATGACTGATATGTAAATCACTGTTAGAAAATGTTCTGGCCTAACATCCAATAATTCCCCTTACTTTTGCACCATCTGTGCCTTTTTTTTGGGGGGGGGGTAATTCTTTATTTTTGACATGCACATAAGTACAACAGTGCCGGTATTGCCACAGTAGCATCGACAGGCTCAATTTTCATGGTCATGACAAGACAGATTTATGACATCCTGGGTTGGCCTACAATAACTATTTAACCCGGATCTGACTGCCTGCTCATCTATTATCTGGTGTTAGTGGAGCCGTTCAATAAAAAGGCTCAGCATTGGATCCGAAAACCATTGGCTACTGTAAGTGTCTAGGCGTGTCCCGAAGGGTAAGGCAGTATGGAAGAGTGCTGTTAGTACAGCTGCGGGTATAGTATCCTTAGACGTGCTAGCTAAAGTGCAATCAGAGGTTGTAGTGTAATGTTATTTATGTTTTGTTTTTCGAGGTTACTTCGGGTGTGTCTTGTGGCCAAGATTATATTACACCGGGGTCATTTGGTTGGGATCTGTACTTTAAGGAGCCCATGTAATAGAACACCCTGGCCCCGGAAAGGCTGGAGGATTTCAGGCGAGATATGAACCACTGAGCAGGGGGGTGCTAAGTTGCAAGTTATGGTGCATGTACAGTTGAGTGCAGTTGGGATCAGCGGTCATTAGGGTGGTGTCTGCCTCCTGGGTGATCTCGATATGATAAGCCTGATGATACGTGTGATTGTGTGTCGAAGGTAGGTCGGTTATGTACACCAACTTTTGTTATTATGACTATGGAGGGGCAAGTCATATATGGAAAGCCTCTTGGGTGTGCTTGCACGCTACCATGAAGTCCAATATGAGGGTACTGTCGTCGTGGTGGGCACCCGGTTACACAGTCTTGTGGTAGTCATGGTCAGGTTCAGTTATTGCGCATCCGATTGTAGGGATTCTACTGTGGTGCGGTGTGGCATGTTTTTACAATATTTATCTAAGAGCTGGATGTCATGGGGAGATATCTTGTTATATGGGTAGTCAAGCTTGATCTCTGTATCCCTTAAACCCAGACTTCTATGCTGTTGTAGGTGGAGCACATCAGAAGGTAGAGCGCATCAGTCCGTTAGTCGCTCTTTATGTAAGGTGGACTGTTTGTGACCACCGTGTTGTATGTGTCTCCTCAGACATGGGAGCGGGTGAAATCTCAGGTGAGGCGAGTGTAGAAAAATGTAGGCAACAAGTGTATAAGGAAGGAATATAGATTAAGAATAATCAGAAATGGAGTGAGGAAGAAAGTAAAGAAGGGGAAAAGAGCAAGACTGGCCCACACCACTGCCCCCCCCCCCCCCAAGGACCCCCAGCCGAGGCGACCGCGAGGAGGGGGGAACAAGGCGGTGGCGCAGGAAAAAGGGGAAGAGGGGGGGCGAGAGGCACAAGGCAAAAACCGCAGGTAGGCCACCAGGAAGCTAGCCACCCAAGGCTCCCACATCTGTGCCTTTTTGATATCTTGATATATCCCTACCTGTTCCTTACTAGTTATTTTTAATAGCATTTATGTTCAAGTATGTAGTAAATATAACATGCTCTGATCATTATTTCATAGTTACATGTAAATCTAGGTTGAAAAAAGATTAAAGTCCAATTTTTAAAACCCATTCACACAAAAAAATTGTTACAATTTACAATTATGCCACAAGAAAATTGAAAAAAATCTTCTTGACTCCATAATAGTAATAAGCTTTCACTTTGGATCAACAACCTGTGTACATACATATTTGTTATATTTTTAAAAATATCTATAGAATTTAATAACAGCCTCTTTAGCTATAGAATGCTACATCTTTATTGTTCTTACTTTAAAGAACTCATTCCTCTGCAGTAAGCAGAAATGCCTTTTCTTCCAGTCTCCATGGGGGTAAAACGTCTGCTACTGAACAGGTTAGCACATGCTATCATATCACCTCTAAGGCGCCATTTAAAAAAAAAATTTTTTAAGAAAACAAATGCAGTTTTCCTACACATTCTTCATAACTAATATTGTCTATACTTATTAGTTTTGTAGCTTGCCTTTTCAATTTTTCTAATTTCGCAAAATGATTCTTTAAAACTGGTGCCTGAAATTGCATAACATATTTGAGGGATGGGAGGAAAGTCTTTCTATTGATTTGTAAAGAGGCAAAATTATATTTTGATCACATGAATCAATACTCCTTTTATACATCACAGCACCTTGCTAGCATTTGCAATAGAAGGCCGGCATTGCGTACAGTTTCCTAATTTGTTATCTAGAATTGTTCCTAAGTTCTTTTCATTTGATGTTCTCCCAATGTAAAGGTGAAATCTTATTGCTGCTCACCTGCCCAGTTCTTCAAGTTATCTAAATCCCTCTATAGTGAAGTTATATATTGTTCATACATCTTACCTAGTTTTGTGTCGTCGGCAAATATGGACACATGACTTTTTTAATGACCACTTTAAGGACATATATAAACAAATCAAGAAGTGTATACAGGACAAGCAGCATGCCACTGACAACGTTTTGTCCTGTTTAAAAAAAAAAAACATGATTTTTATTTTTTTTCAGATTTTTTTATTTTTATTGTTTTTCAACATAAGGAGACGGGTACACAATGTAGCATGGTTCGTAAATAGCTTAGTGCATACATGGGTTCAGTTTTCATACATCTCGGTTGCGTCATGACATCATTGCAACAAGGTAGTGATACATACACCTTAATACATATATCAGTTGCTTCACAGTATACCAACATTTTTCAGATGTCCCCCATTCTGGTATTACATCTCACCCATGTACATCTGGTCTTCTGCATTCGCAGAAAATTACCCTTGTATATATACACTTACAATTCTATTGAAATAAAACCAAGAAGAGAAGAGAGGGGAGGGGACACAGGAGGGGATAAGTGGGGAACACCAACCCCGTTTAGCCAGACTGATAACATTATATCCGTTACACTGTTACATTTTGCTCTACTCTATGCTCTACTCTATTGGGCCTGATTGTACGTATTCTATTTCATATTTCAGCGAGGGAGGGAACCGTTTTACTTTTCCAATGCTAATTTTGGCAGCCAAGAGAATTTGACATATCACCGATTTGTGTTGTGAGGTCATGATTTCTGGTGAGACATGCAGTAGGAAGCATTCTGGGCAGAGAGGTATCTTTACTGAGGTCAGTGAGTGGATCTTTGTGTTCAGTTGATCCCAAAGTGTTGTCAGCATGGGGCAGTCCCAAAAGACATGTTTTAAAGTGCCTTCCTATTTGTTACAGCGCCAGCATAAGGGGGATATTGTGGGGTACATTTTAGCTAACCTGGCGGGGACCAACTACCAACGCATTTAGTAATTTACAATATGACTCCCAATGTGTGAGGCTGTGAGAGGATGTTCGCGTCATCTGTAATGTTTGCAGCCAAAGGGGCAGGGGAAACGCTGTACCGATGTCATGTTCCCACAGCTTCATGTATGGGTGCTTCATCTACTTCATTGAGGGCGGTGTAACTCAAAGAAAGGGTTTTAAGTGTTTTATGTTTTCTAATACACCCCTGGCCAAACGTTGTTAACTGAGATTCAGGGTGCAAAGTAGAGGAGATCCCCCGGTAGTATCAGGCCTTTAGCCCATCTGCTCCAGCTGTGTATGAGGAATGTGGTGCTACAGGGTATAGGATTTGTAGTGCTTGTCACCCCTGAGAACATCCACAGTAGGTGATCTATTGTCTGGGGAGCGATGCATGCATTCTCCAGGGGGAGCCTTAGTGGCGGGTTGGGCCGAGACAGGACCTCCACCCCCTGCGCCACTGCAGCTGCTTTATAATATGATTGAATATTAGGGATTCCAAGTCCCCCCTTATGTACTTGGAGCCACGTAAGACGTCTGGCTATTCGCAGAGGTTTTTTCTTCCAAATATATGCATTAAACAGAGTCTGAAATTCACTAGTGTGTCAGGTAGTTGTATGGGAATAGTGCGGAATAGGCATAGCAAGTGTGGTAGGGCCATCATTTTGAGAGTGTTGATTCATCCCATCCACAAGACCTCCAGATGCTGCCATTTACCCAGGATCAACTGGAGTTTGTGGGTGAGTGGTATATGGTTTTTCCTTAATGAGACGTGTGCCTGTTTTTGTCAAGTTTATGCCCAAGTATTTCAGGGATGTTTTCCTCCAGTCGAAGGGATAAAGTGATTATAGTACTTGAGTTACCTCTAAGGGGAGGCCAATAGGCAGCGCCTGTGTTTTCTTTCCATTATTTTTGTAGTATGATACTTTCCCGTATTCGTGTAGTAACTCCATTAGTATCGGGATCAATGTCCTTGTTTGTGTGAGAAACAGCAGGACATCGTCCGCAAAGAGCGCTATTTTTTTGTGGGCCCGCAGGAGTGGTGAGTCCTGTGATTTGTTCTTGCTGTTTAATGTGGTGTACTAGAGGTTCTAAGCATAAAATAAAGATGAGTGCTGATAGTGGGCAGCCCTGCCAGGTACCATTACTGATGTAGGATGTATCGGAGAGGAAGCCCGAGTTAAATACCTTTGCTGATGGAACTTGGTATAGGGCCATGATTCCCTTGATGAAGAAGGAGGAGAATCCCATTTTAGCCAAAGTGGCCTGCATGTACTCCCAGTTAAGGCGGTTGAACGCTTTTTCAAGAACATGATTTTTTTAATCTGAACCTCCTGTTTTTGGTTTTAATAGGAACCTGTAACCGTTTAAAATGCTGTAGCAAATTCCAAGGAGATAACATCCACCTGAACACCCCAATCTATGTTTCTACTAACTCCTTCATATAACTATCTCCCATAAAACCATGTTGATTCCTGCTAATGACATTGTTGTTCAAAATTCATTTTAAATATTATACCTTAACAGGCCTTAAAATTATTTCAAAATCACATATGTTAAGTTCACAGGTGTGTAGTTGCAAGGTTGAGCTATTGGGTTATTTTTAAATATAGGCACCACGTCTGTTTTCTCCATTCCCTTGGTATGATTTCTGAAAGTAAACATTCCTGATTAGTTCTATTTTTAGCTCTCTAGATACTCAAGGGGGAATACCATCTTGCCCCTGAGCTCTGTTTACATTAAATGAATTTGATTTCTGAAGCACTTTATCCTGTGCTAACCAATCAACTGTTTGCTGTAAGGCTTTTGTAACTGGGATCTCAGATTCAAATGGACCAACACTTTGCCTCTTAACCTTTTTGGAAGTAATGTACTTGAAAAAAAAACTGTATGGGTTTGGTCTTGCTGTCTGGGTATAAGTGTTTAATTCTAGTTTAGTCTACCTAATCACCTTTTTGCAAACCATATTGACATGCTTCTATTTGCTATTATTATTATTATTATTATTATTATTGGTATTTATATAGCACCAACTTATTCTGCACCACTTTACAATAGTATAAAAGGAGGAGATGTAATAATAAATTAGACTATTACAAACTGTTACAGGAACAATAGGTTGATGAGGACCCTGCTCAAACAAACTTTCAGTCTAGAGTATGCCATTAACCCATCTAATTTAAATGTTTTGAATGCCCTTTTCTTACTGGACAGATCCTTTTACGAAGTCACATTGGCTTTAATTGGCTGATTTTATATTTGTTTCCTAGTTGGATGTATTGAAAAACAGCACTTTTTGTAGAATTTGACTAAAGACCTTCTAATAATCCTATATGCTTTTCCAGTGAATAGCTCCTGCCAGTCAATTGTTGTAAAGTCCTTATCCTATATTACATGTTATGAAGATAAAGTATGGAACTAAGGAATCAAGCAACAGATACAATTTATTGTAGATACATTAAATGTTATATGATCTTCAAAGTGGTATTAAAAGTCTTCTTACAGTATTTGTAGATGACACAAAATTAAGTAAAATGATATCAGTTGAACAAGAGGTTCCTGATTCATAGAGTGGTATGGATACTGTGGGTTGTGGGGGAGGCAAATGGCAGAGGATTTTCAATGCATTTAAATTAAATGTGAAAATACAAATAGAAAAACAAACTTGCAATGCTTCCTGCAGATATAAGTAATCCAGCATCAGCAGATTTCTGTTCACATCATTTTCTCCGTCCCTATATGAGTAGAATTTTAATATACAGCTCCAAAGAATACCTTGATCTGGCTCTTTTATAGAAGAATTCCCCTGACAGAACCAAGACTATATCTTCTGGCAAGCTTTATATTGGGACTTTATAATGGACATGTTATTGTTATTATTCTTTTTTGTCTTTTTATCCTTTTGTAATATATTTACTCCTACTAGTGTTTTTTTTTACTATTTTGACACTACCTCTATTCCCTTTGTTTCTATTATCCCAATTGTTTGTAGGGCTGAGAGGGAAGCCTTATTAATTGGTGTGCTGCCTATTTAATTCAATATTGTGAATTTTTGGTTTGGTAAATTAGCACTGATCCTTTTGATTTTATTCCCCATATATCCCCAGCATCATGGTGTGTTCTTCTAAAGGAATTTCTGACGTGGAAAACTTCTCATTTGTCTCCATTTATATGTCAGTCTATGTGGGGCTTTTTTAAAGATATCTACTTGGCAGTGTCCACTTATGCCATCATATCTCTCTGTAACCAATCACAACCCAGTATAGGGTGTATATACTTGCAGGTTATCCTTGTTTCCTTGCACTATCATGGTTTCTGTATACCTGGGAGTGCGTTATTAATTTACTGTTTATTGACCTTGACTTGTCTGACTAGTTTTGCAGGGATGTACCTAACGTGAGGCAAACAAGGCATTTGCCTTTGGCGGCAATTTCCAGGGGGTGGCAAAAAACGCCGCCCCCAAATGCCCAGGCAAATATCTTGTTTGCCTCGTTTTATGGGAGCCCAAAGGTGGCTCCCCCGGGGCAGGCGGGCGGTTCGTTCGCGGGCGGGCAGGCAGCCACACTAAGCTGTCAGAGAGCGAGCACTTTCCTCTGAGTGCTCTGCTCAGCTCCCTTGCGTGACGTCATATTCCGGCTCCCGGCATTACTGCAGGTCGCGCAAGGGAGCTGCTCAGAGGAAAGTGCTCCCTCGCTGACAGCTTAGTGTGGCTGCCTGCCTGCAAAAGAACCGCCCGCCTGCACGTCCGGCTGCCTCCCTGCCCAGCAGCCACACTGGACCCCAAGTGAAAAATCCACCCAGCTATCCCAAAAGTAGAGAGGCTGGGTGGATTTCAGTTTTTAACAACAAAAAATAATAATTGTGAGTTGGGGAAATGTGTGTGTGTGTGTCAGGTAATATGAGTGTTTGTCAGGGAATGTGAATGTGTGTCGGTCAGTGAGTGCGTGCGTCTGTCAGTGAGTCTGTCCGTGAGAGTGTCTGTCAGTGTGTGTCCGAGTAATAGTGTATTTCATTGTTTGTCAGCGTATATGAGAGCGTGTGTCTGTCAATGAGTGTATGCATTTATCAGTGAGAGTGTGCATCTGTAAGTGAGTGAGCCTCTGTCAGTCAAAGTTTGGCCTTGACAGGAAGGGGTGGGGAAAACTTAAATTGGGGGGGGGGAGCCCGAGCACCGTCCTGCCTAGGGCAGCACAAATCCTAAATACACCATTGTACTCTTGCTCTCTGTAATTCTGACCTTGGCTTGTTGCTCAATTCTGTGTAAAATGCAAATGAAATTTAGACAAACCAATTTCATTTTCAGCTTCTTACTCATTGTCAGCGATTTAGGGGCTTAAAAATGGAAATGTCAGGAACCAGAGTAACTTAATTCCTCAATGGTTAAACTAATAAATAAAACCCTGTCATATAATTATGAGGGAGATTTACAACCTTATGCAGATATTGGGGGCATATAAACTAGAGAGTAAGGAGCCAATGGCTGCCCTCTGTAATAAAAGGCTAGTGACTACATTATATACATTATATAAATAATATAAGTGAAGCCCCTATCAAAAAAATATATATACTTACCATCAGATGTCTTCTTTCTTCTTAGAGGGATACTATAAGTGCCAGGAATACAAAGCTCCCTTTGCCTTTCCCCTCCCTCGCGCCTGAGCCACGACGAGCAGGTGCTAATGAATGCTTTCCTATGTGGTTCTCATGCAGAGGGTGAGGATGTCCAGCGTCAGATCAAAGTGCCTCCAGTGTCTGTCTGGGAGAAATCCATGGGAGGCAGACTTAGTGCTGCAATATAAGCATTGTAGAATTAAGGGCAATAGGGGCACTGTACCCAGACTACTTCAATTACCTGAATGGATGGGGTTGGGATAAACTGCTGGTCTATGAATTAGTAAGTCCGGTCTCTGAGGAAGCGGGCAAGAAGGAACCTGGCTCATTTTGTTAGGAGTGGAAACAAAGGTCTCCAGATTTTTCTTACAAATTGGTGAATCATCGGTAGGAGAGGGAATCCATACCCCAGATCGAATTCTCATGGAAGAGATAAGGCATCTTGGCCTGCTGAGAGATGGTCTGATTGGAGAGAGAAATATATAGGGAACTTGTGTATTCTTTCTCAGAGCTATTAAATCGATCTGGGGAGTGCCCCACCAAAGAGATATCATCTGAAACACCTTTGGATTTAATTTCCATTCTCCCGGTTGAATCATAGTTCTGCTCAGGTAATCTGCTAATAAATTTTCTGTCCCCAGAAGGTATACTGCTCTTAGACCTTGTAATCTGGTCTGAGTAAATTTCATCAGAGGAACTAACTCCTTCAAAAGAGTTTTGCTTCTGGTTCCACCTTGGTGATTAGTGTATGAAGCCACAGCTCTGTTGTCCTTTTGGATTCTCACCCATGAATTTTCTAGGTGAAGATAAAACCCCTGGAGAGCCCTGTAAATTGCTCTCAGCTCTCTTAGATTCAAATGAAAGTTCCCTGTATACATTTCTTGTCTAGATTAGCACCCCATCCGTGAAGACTCGCATGTGTAGCAATAGTTATCCATTTTGTTTTTTCTAATGGAAATCTTAGAGATAGGTGTTTCACTATTGTCCGTCACAATAGTTTGTCAATGCTGCTTGGACATGGAAGAATTCTACGAACCCAACAATATCCCATTTCTTTGAATTGGTGTAAGAACTCCATCTGAATAGGTTGTATGTTTCACTGGGCCCATTTTACTAGTCCTATAGTGCACGTGCGCGAGTCCTGCAGGCTCATAAATTCTCTTGCTGTTGAATGTGTTTTTGTTTTTAAGATTCCTGATCTTTAGTTGAATCTTTTCCATCCTTACTGGTGATAGGGTCACTGTCCCACTGTCTAAACAAAAAATGAATACACCCCAATCAAGGAGGGGGGGGTCAGTACTTTTATTTAGAAAAGGGAAAAGATTAAAAATTAAAGCTATGATAACTAGCTTATAGATCCGTCTTATGGGGCAGTACTACAAATGTCCACAGCTATAAGTGCCAATACTATCTAGTAGGGAAATACTTTATTGGTTAAGACAGGAAAATACACATTGGACCAGTTAGAGCTAGAAGTACTAGGGAAAGGCCTTTCGTTCATCTCAATCCCATGCTTTGATAAGTTCAACTGGGTGAAGGATATTCACTTGTTTGCACAGAAATGAATACTTCATAAGACTCACATTTAAAAAAAAAATGAGAAAAAAAACAAATCATTGGGCCCTGAACTCAGGGATTATCAACTAACTTTGATGATAGCTGAACTACTGCAAGAAAATTATTTAGATGAGGGAGGCCAATGGAAATTGACAACATATCCATCCCAGAGCTAGCTCCCAAACCAAACTCCAACCTATCAGCAAAGGAAGTTAAAGCCTTGAAGGACCTACAGGAGAGGGAGGGGATAACAATCAAACCATCAGCTAAAGGAGGGAATAATGTAATCCTAGACACCACCCAATATGTTGAGATGACCAAAAAAATCCTCACAGATACCACCACTTACAAGATCTTAAAATTAGATCCCACAAAGGTCTTCTTGGAAAAACTAAAACATATCCTACAAACAGGGTTTAACGATAATATGATATCCAAGAATGAATATGATTTTATGCTGAATACAAACCCATGTATCTCAACGTTCTATAGTCTACCCAAAATACACAAACAACACCCAGTGTTATCAGGGAGACCAAAAGTATCGGGAAATAACAACATGATGCAAAATGTTAGCATATATCTAGATCATATTCTAAGACCTCTAGTAGTCAGACTTCCCTCGTATTTGAGGGATACAAAACAAACCCTGGTGGATTTGGCCCAGTTAATTTGCAGCCTGGACGTTGAGGCCCTGTATAGTTCGATTCATCATATTCTGGGGCTTAAACATACAAGATATACATCTTGAGAAATATATCAATTTACCTATTGAGCTTTTACAGTTCATTCTAAACCACAACTTTTTCATATTTGATGGCGTATTTTATCACCAGGTGCAGGGAACTGTGATGGGGACGTCTTGTGCGCCCTCATACGCCAACCTGCACCTGGGTTGGTGGGAAGAACAAGTAATATTTGACCCGCTTAATACCTTTACTCAATGTATCTACTCATGGAAGAGATACATTGATGACATTATGCTCATTTGGACGGGTACAAATGACAAATGTTTTCACTTTGTATGAGTATTTATTTATCCAAATCAAATGCCCTTGACTAAATAGTAAAATGGATGTCCGCAATTGTTTAAGTGTATATAGTGTATGGTAACATGAAAACTTAATCAATACAACAATGTATCTCCATGAAATTCCTCCCCCCCCCCCAAAAAAAAAAAAAGAAAGCAAGAATGAAAGAGACCAAATACTATTATAATAAAACATAGAGACATACAAACAGACCAAAAAAAACCATAATGTGGTTTATGAAAAACAGACCAAATCAATATCTACATTTAATCCCATGGGTTCTAGTGTTTTTATTTGGTGAATCCAAAAAGTTTCTCTTTGGGATAAATTCTTGATCCTATCACCACCACGCCAATGAGGGGTAACTCTTTCAATACCCAGGCATCTAAACTTTTTCCATGAAAAGGAAGGGCATGTACTGCAATGAGCAGAAACTGAGTGGGTGATTAACCCTTCCTAATATTGTTCAGATGCTCAAGTATTCGAACTTTAAATATTCTTGTGGTGCGGCCCACATACTGTTTGCCACACGGACATTGCAGTAAATAAACTACAAAGTCCGTGTGGCAACCTATATCCGATTTAATATGGTATACCTTCCCAGTACTGACACTAGAAAAGGTGTTTGATCTCTCAGTAGTCACAGTCTTACAAGCTTTGCACGCTTTACATCCCCTACAGAATCCTACATTCATATTAGTGGAAGAGGTTTTACATATAATATATAATATATACAAAAAAAAAGATTTTATTATTGTTATTCTATTTCTATGATTTTTTATTATTTTTAAATTACTTACATTATCCACAATTGTTACTTTGTGATTACAATTGTTTTTTCAAGGTTAGTTTTGAATCAAATACCTATTGGGGATTCCAAAATGGTAAAAGTGATCAACTTTTGATGCTCTATAGCTATATTCCACCATGTTGCTACCAATACTATTGTGTTTTGTCTCAACAGATATATGACTCTCTCCAACATTTACTATTTGGGACTGTTCCCCTGGCGACCACCCGAGGGCTCTGTTAACAAACCCTGGTGGATTTGGCCTCACTTGCTGGAACGCACGACTGAATGGAACGCAGAAGTGTGCGTTCACTTCCGGTTACGGTTTTCGGCTGACATTGGACGCGCGAATTTCGATTGTAATCAAAGCAAGAAAAAGTCAGCTGGATGTGATTAACCACTACACCAATGAAGGAAGGAACCCAGGAAGACGCCCAGGTCACCACCAATAAACTTAGGGATTAGCCCTATATAACAGGACTGATGGGATGGTGGAATTAGGCTGTATTTTATACTCTGTCATTGTTGTATTATAATTGATTTTAATTTTGGTCCCTGAGGAGGTTCCATACTGTGAACGAAACGCGTAGGACCTCATTTTAAGTTTGTTTTCTTTTTATTGCTGGGTGAAGATTCATCCTTAATAAAGCCGTTTAAAATTGTTTCCACCATCCTGGGAGTCCTGTTTTCCATTCATTCTTTTGGAGCAACTGGAGGAAGATACTACTACTATCAGGGGAGACACCCTAGAGCGCTATTTCTCGTCTAATCTTGTGAGTACATTTCATGAACATTAACTCACTATTTGATACTGATTTACACTATGTTTATTTATGTTTTTTAATTTTAGATTTCTCAGCCGTATCCCACATATTTCTGGTTGTTCTATATTTTGCTGTGTAAAGGTCATTCATTCTGGGTAATGACCTGGGAGGTTATTCTATTTGAATATTAAGATAAGTAAATTTTCACTTGTATACACTATTCACTAAGTGGTGATATAGAAATATATATTTTTTTCTTTTTTCTTCACTTAATAATAATGACTTGAATTTGAAATTTACTGCGGAGGTTGGCAGTCCTTCTTGTAACTTCCTTGACTTGACCGTGACTCCTGAGACTAATGGTAGAATAAAAACTGATCTATTCAGGAAAAGCACATCTATGAATAGCCTACAAGAGATGCTATCACCCAGTACAGCAAAAAAGAGGTATACCCACAGGGTAGTACCTGCGACTCAGGCTAAATTGTTTGGATATTGAAGATTTTAAAACAAGAGATAAGGAACTCTATGTTTAGATCCAAAGGATATCCAAACAAATACCTTAAAAGAGCGTATTAAGGAGGGGGTTCAGTACTGGTATTTAGAAAAGGAAAAAAATTAAAAATTTACAGCTATGATAACTAGCTTAGACATCACTCTTATGGGGCAGTACTGAGAAAGCCTTTTGAGGGAAGAAAAGTCTCTATCCATTCATACTAACTCAGACCAAAAACAACTCAGATGTGTAGCAACATTTGATGCAGGCTGGGACCAGGTAAAAACAATCATGAATAGATTCTGGCCACGTCTTAGACAAAACGCTTCGAAAACAGCGCACATACCGAGAAATTCCATCCTTATTCCTTCTTTAATTGTAACACTAAAGGGCTAGTATACTTAATTGTATGCCAGTGCAACATGCTATCTGTGGGCAAGACATTCCGTCCTTTTGAAAGACTCATTTTGGAGCACATTAATTCCATAAAAACTTGCAGAAACATCGAGATCCCTATCTCAAGGCATGTAAAGACAGTCCATCATGGGGATCATACAGCACACAAATTCCTGGGCATTGAATTAGTGAAACTAGATCAAAGGAAAGGTAATGTAGATAAACGCCTGAGGAGAAGAGAATGCTTTTGGATCTACCACCTGAATACACTTACTTTGCATGGTTTAAATGAAGGATATATTTTTTTTTCACTTGTAGTATGTTGTGGACAAAAATATTAACCCAATTCATATTAATAAAATGCCTATTTACTCAGCATAACCACAATCAGCATTATTCAACCTTATTTGTAATTTACCTAAAATGGCCGCTAGGGAGTTTCCCTTTGACACCTCATTAATTATGTTCTATTACTATAGCTTGACTGCCTAGCGGGCAGGGAATGCATCCGCCCGGGGGGGCAGGGGGGGAATTTACTATAACTTGACTGCCTAGTGGGCAGGGAAAGCATCCGCCCGGTGAGGGGCTGGGAATTTACTATAGCTTGCCTGCCTACCGGGCAGGAAACGCATCCGCCCGGCGAGGGGCTGGGAATTTACTATAGCTTAACTGCCTAGCGGGCAGGGAACGCATCCGCCCAGTGAGGGGCTGGGAATTTATTATAGCTTGACTGCCTAGCGGGCAGGGAACGCATCCGCCCTGTGAAGGACTGGGAACCACCTAGAGAAAGGCTGGGAATTTTGTCGTACTGTTCAGAGCAGAACAGGGTTTTATTTACTGTTTAGTTGTTACTATGCTCGTTGTTATATTGTTCTTTATTATATTAGGGTTTTTATTTAATTTTGGCCATAGTGTGGGTACCCTCGCTGTGTGTGTGTGTTGTGTAGCTCATCCTGGATTCCGGATTATGTGCACATCTCTATATCTGTGACTCTTGTAAATGTCTTCTGATTAGTCTCTCCGCGTTCACCTTTTCCTTCATTCTCTACCTCTTCTGTACTTTTTACCCAGAGCTGTGTTAGTCACCCATGCTCGTCTGCTCAGATCCGTGGCCGCCATCTCGGGAGGGCGGATCCCGTGACTAGTCTACGTTTAGGGAAGACGCACGAAGGATGAAGGATCAATTCCTCATGGCACTCGAGCACTGTAGACATTCCTTCTTTTTCCTCTCTCTCTCTCTGTCCCTCTTACGTGGGAAGCCGTGTTTGGTAAAAATGGGACAAGAACACGCCAGACCTTCCAAAGGCTACTTAGCTTGTGACATAGTTAAGGAGAGAGCAGGAGAAGAGGCTATGTTAAAAATAAAGAAAATAGCAAAGATTTGTGGCTTTCAAATGTCACCCAGTGGTAGATTACAGCCAGAATATTGGAGGAAATTGCTTATTGACAAAGAGAGCTTATTGTTGGATAATGGGTTAACGAAAGCCGTGGATGCTTGGTATTGGGTGGCAAGAGGACTCAAGCGGGAGGGTTGGTTAGAGGAATAACTAGACTTTGGAGGACAATCGATTTATGCATATCATAGAAATGTTTGTGATGATGATTCATCTCTTGATGTTCCCCTGCCACCGCCCTATGATGGCGCCCAACACAATGTGAAAGAATCTGACTCCGCCTCCCCAGCCACTACCCAGTGGTCACCTCCAATTGGCATAGGCTCCTCTGTCCCCACCCCTCTGTACCCCATCCTCGGGGCGGATGGATCTTATTACTATCCCGTCCCTCTCCCACCTCCCTCTGTTTTTCCCACTGCTCCCGCCCCATTCCCACCTCCCTCTGTCATTCCTACTGTTCCCGTCACTCTCCCACCTCCCTCTGTCATTCCTATTGTTCCCACCTCTCTCCCACTTCCTACCGTTGTTCCCACTATCCCAGCCCCTCTCCCACTTCCCTTGGGTCCCGTCTCTCTTCCACCTTCCCCTGTCGCTTCTGATTCCGTCCCTCTTCTACCTTCTTCTATCACTTCTTCTGAGATCACCCCTCTCCCACCTCCCTCTGTCATTCCTTCTATTCCAGCTCCCCTTTCACCTTCACCTATTGCCTCCCCTGTCACCCCTCTTGTTCATCTCCCCGTCATTCCTTCTATTCCTGCTCCCCTCCCGCCTTCACCCCTTGTTCCCCTTGTCACATCTCTCTCTGCCATATCCCCCTTCAACCAATCTTCCTGTGCCATTCCCTCCACTCCTACATCTCCCTCTCCTCTCCCCATCACCCCTCCCGTCCCAGTTTCAGCTTCCCCTCCCCTTTCAGCCTCCAATCCTGTAGTCCCTCTTTCATCACTCATTTCCGCCCTCTCTGCTCCCTCTCCTCTTGCCATCACCCCTCCTGTCCCAGTTTCAGCTTCCCCTCCCCTTCCAGCCTCCAATCCTGTAGTTCCTCCCACCCTTGATCTTTCATCACTCATTTCCGCCCTCCCTGCTCCCTCTCCTCTTCCCATCACCCCTTCACCCAGTTTCAGCTTCCACTCCCCTCCCAGCCTCCCCTTCCAGCCTCCAATCCTGTAGTTCCTCCCTCCCTTGATCTTTCATCACTCATTTCCGCCCTCCCTGCTCCCTCTCCTCTTCCCATCACCCCTTCACCCAGTTTCAGCTTCCACTCCCCTCCCAGCCTCCAAGCCCGTAGTCTCACCCTCCCTTGATCTTTCATCACTCATTTCCGCCCTCTCTGCTCCCTCTCCTCTTCCCATAACCCCTTTCATCCCAGTTTCAGCTTCCACTCCACTTCCAGCCTCCAAGCCCGTAGTTCCTCCCTCCCTTGATCTTTCATCACTCATTTCCGCCCTCCCTGCTCCCTCTCCTCTTCCCATCACCCCTTCACCCAGTTTCAGCTTCCACTCCCCTTCCACCCTCCCCTTCCAGCCTCCAATCCTGTAGTTCCTCCCTCCCTTGATCTTTCATCACTCATTTCCGCCCTCCCTGCTCCCTCTCCTCTTCCCATCACCCCTTCACCCAGTTTCAGCTTCCACTCCCCTCCCAGCCTCCAAGCCCGTAGTCTCACCCTCCCTTGATCTTTCATCACTCATTTCCGCCCTCTCTGCTCCCTCTCCTCTTCCCATAACCCCTTTCGTCCCAGTTTCAGCTTCCACTCCACTTCCAGCCTCCAAGCCCGTAGTCTCACCCTCCCTTGATCTTTCATCACTAATTTCCGCCCTCTCTGCTCCCTCTCCTCTTCCCATCACCCCTTCCGTCCCAGTTTCAGCTTCCACTCCCCTTCCAGCCTCCAATCCCATAGTCCCTCCCTCCCTTGATCTTTCATCACTCATTTCTGCCGTCTCTGCTCCCTCTCCTCTTCCCATCACCCCTTCCTTCCCAGTTTCAGCTTCCACTCCCCTTCCACCCTCCAATCCCGTAGTCCCTCCCTCCCTTTATCTTTCATCACTCATTTCCGCCCTCTCCGCTCATCTCCTTCAGCTTACTCAGACCCTGTCACCTCCGGTTATGACTATCACTTCCCCTCCCAGCACCCTTCCAACTATTTCCTCCTCCGCCCCCTCACCCAGTCCAGTTCCTGTCTCCACCTCCCTCATGGCGACTCCCAGTTACCCAATCATGATAGTTGGGTCGACTGAATCTGTTGCATTGGGACAACCTCATGCTGTAGGCGCCTCTCCTGCTGCATCAGGCTTTCATCCCACTACCTCTCAATTAGTTACTCCCCAGGACATTGCTGTTGGTTCCCCCAACTCCGGTGCTCCGGCCGCTCAAGCCCCTAATTCACAAGATGCTGCCAGCTACCACAGTCTCCCGTTCCCGATTCCCCCCTGAAGATGACAA